GAAAAATTTCCTAAAAAATAAATAAATAAAGACAAGTCTTTATTCTATTGTTGGCATAGGCAACCATGGGTATAGAAGTATCTTTTCCAAGGAAAAGCCTGATTTCCAGACTAATTTTATAGTTAACTACTGTTTGTTTAATCTGGGGACATTTTAGAATGGCTATTTAAGGGAGTCACAGTAATTGGTTTTCTTGTAAGATCCATCACTAAAATGTAATGGGAAATGTTTACTGGCAGCACAAATGTAATCATGGAATCAGAATGCCCAAGCAGGTTTCCTTAGTGCCTGGCCTCCCTAAAGGTTATTTATGTATAGATAGATACAGGGCTTAGATTCAGAAGACAAAAAAAGCTTTAGTAGGTACCAGGACTTTTTCAATATTAAGGCCACTTTGGTACTGCTTCATTCATTAACACTTTCTAATCTTTCTCCCATATACTAAGAACAAAACCACTGCTAGACAATTTGTATTAACTCAGCTAAACTCAAGCAACTACATAAAACTACAAGATCAACTATTGGGTCAACATACATTTGGTTAAAAAAGGATCATACTTAGAAAAAAACCCACATCACTGGGGGACTAGTTTAATAACTGGCAATGAATGAAATGAGTAAAGAAAAACTACACCTTGTTACAGAAAAGGTCAACACTAAAATGGACTAAGGGCTTTTTTTGGAGACAGGGTCTCATATAGCCCAGAATGGTGTCTATATTGCCAAAGTCACTCTATTGCCAAAGGATGATGGCCTGATTCTCCTGCCTTCACCTCCCAAATGCTGAAGAAAATTTCTGAAGGGTTGAAGGTGAGAACCTGAGGACATAACTACACCAGATCTAAAGTCGATGCTTTTTGTAATCCTGCAAAAATACCAAACCCTTAAATTTCTTTTGATCACACATTTTCCATCAAAAGCACATATATGCATTTTTGTCTGAAATTTCTTATCTACTATCTAAGCAAAAATTTTATTGCCAGGCCCCTCCAAACATGAAAATCCACACCAATTAATAACCTGAAAATAGCCTCCAAAATCAGTTCAAAATAGTGATTTGAGAATTTGCTATAATCAATTTTGACCTGACAAAAAGTTAACACCAAATGATGACAACACCTAACTCTATATGGCCCACATCCTACAATAACCCATGTAAAAAAGTACTCATTCCTAAAATAATCACTATACCTTATTAGAAAACAACAGCTATGTCCAAATATTAATCAACAAAACAATGCTGGACACATACACTATAACGCTAATCACTGACTTGGCCAAATTAAGTTTGAAAGCATTCATGTTTATTGTGTAGGTTTGGGGCTTTACTGAAAAAGAAAAAGGCTATACAAATAAGACAAATTCCATTAACACCTCTCAGTTTCTGAACTCCCTCCCCTTCAAGCTTTCAAGGAAACCAGTACTTACCTTGTTAAAACCATTTGTAATTTCATCTTAGAAGTATCACTTTCTATTTTGATAATATCCACAATATTAAGATTCTTATTTAAATAAAAAAATGATTCAACAAGAGACTTATGATGAAAAAACTAGTGATTTTCTTAAACTTAATTTAACCCTTCATTAAAATTACGTGTAAAGGCTACAATTACTTTAGAAATAGAAGTTTTGGCTATAAAAACCTGAATTTAAGAGTTAGGGGAAAAACACAAGGAAAACACAAAGACATCATGGGATTGCTTAAGAGGAAAAAAAGTAGAAACTGAGAAGCAATTTGGTGGAGTAGTATCCAGAAGCTGCTCCTTGTTTAGGTTCCAAACATACTACACTAATACTGCTTTATCAGAGTATCTGCTAACTCCAAACTACTCTAATCTCTTGCTACTGTGGTCATAAAACAGCCCAACAAAAACATTTTCTGGCTTGTATAATTCTAAGATTCTCAGGACTCACATGCATAATCTCAACGAGGTAAGAATTTTAAACTAACTAGAAGATCAAAATTCACAAGTCTCAACCCTATACTAGGAACACTATTGGGGTCTTAAATATATTAAGAGTGGCCGTTTTTTCCTTCAAAGAAAAGGTTCTTTACAAAATGAGCAATTTTTAATAAAAGTACTGGAAGAAATGAGTTTTTAAGCCAACTTAAAATTGGCAAAAAAAAAAAATCCAAAAACCCCAAATCCTACAAGTAACAAAGGATAAAACACTCTGCAAAAGAGCTAAAATGCTAACATCCATCCAATAAACTTGTGCCCAAACCAAGCACAATTTATTTCACACCCTAGGAAAGAAACATCTTTGAAAGGGGGTTGAGTGAATCCTGAAGTGAGTGTCCACATGAAGACAAATAATCACTGACATTCCAGGTAGCTTAAAAGATTTATTCTGTGCACATTAAAATAGCTTGTGTCTATGGGCCTAGAAGACAATGAAACTTATTTCCAGGTTTCCAGAGATGGTTGGTTATACCAGGCATATCCAAGACTATTTACCTTAAACATTTTTCACACTTGGAAGGTGAACAAATCAGATTTGGCCAAGCTACTTTGCAGTTATGTCAGTGAATGAAATGCAGGGGACTTGAGCTACCTTGCATTATGTTTGTGTATGAGCCTTACATGGCAGGCAAGCATTTTCTTACCAAGTTATACAACCAGTACTTAAACTACCCCTTATTCCTTGGGGGAAAATGTTTAGTCTTGCTAAGTAATTCAGGATTATAACTGAATCTGGATCCAGGACAAGTAGCCAGTATTTACAAACCTGTAACATTCTGCCCTGCTTACCTTGCAGTGTTTTTGTCTCTGAACTTTTTTGGCAAGCCTTAAGTTCAGCTAAGTGTTTCCAATTATCCCAAGATTCCAATTGGAGAGCAAAAAACACCAAGGAAAATGTGTATGTGTGTAAGTATAGGGCTGAAAAATTGGAACAGCGCTAAAGAGCTGCTCACAATCTGCATTTGGACATTTGTACACGTGGGCCACACAAACTCAGGAATTATGCACACGCACATGAAAAAATTCTTTGTGTTCTACAACTTCCAAGTTTAGAAACACAGAAAGTCATTTTATTCTCCAATTAAATAAGGACTGCCGAATGTGGTTGGTTCACACCTTAAACCGTAACACTAGCTAGGGAGGCAGAGGCAGGCAGTGGCTGAGGTCAAGACCGGACTGGTCTACCTTAGCAAGTCCCAGGACAGACAGGGACACGGAGTGACCCTACCTCAAATAAATACTCAAAAACCATCTTGTTAGTAGAAATAGAAATAACACTTCAAATTAACAGGGGAAACAGTTTCCCAGCTCTTTCAAAATGGTACCCATTCTTCAATCGCTTTCTTCGGGGAGCAATATATATACACGAAAGCTAATTTGAAAATTTTTCATGGACATGATGATGTATACCTATTTAATCCCAAAACAACAACAAACTACTTGCTTTTAATTCTAAACACAGACTAATTTATCATTACATGCCAACTTTGGGAGGCAAGACCTCATGGCATGTGTGGATGGAATACAGAGAAGTTTGAAAGGATTTAAAACAAAACGGGGTCTGGGTTCATAGTGCAGTAGTAAACGCGTGCACGTCACGCAGGCCCAGGTTCCATTTCCATCAGGAAAAAACAAAGCCTAATTCCCCCCTCGTTTCCTTGCTTGGGAAAGCTTTAAAATGACAAGGCACTAACTGGTAACACTGGACTTAAAATGACCATGGGATAAGAGGCTCATCTCGGTAAAGGTCTGATCAGTACTAAAAGACCCGATCAGTTCAAGCTATTCTGCCTTGGTCCCGAGTTTACCATGTGGGAGGCCTACCGTCAAGACCTTTAAAAGTTTACTAACATACTTAGCAGACAACAAATGCAGAGTATGATCTACTCCTGTAAACTCTGAAAAAAATGTTAAGTCCCGGGGGGAAAAACAACTGCTCTTATAGTGCTTCTAAGCGGGAGTTTTCTTTTTTTTTAAATTTATTTATTTATTAAGGATTTCTGCCTCCTCCCCGCCACCGCCTCCCATTTCCCTCCCCAGATCAAGTCCCTCTCCCTCCCTCATCAGCTACAAGAGCAATCAGGGTTCCCTGACCTGTGGGAAGTCCAAGGACCGCCCACCACCATCCAGGTTTAGTAAGGTGAGCATCCAAACTGCCTAGCAATTACTCTCGCTCACTAAGCCATGCAATGCCTTCCTATCTTGCTGGGATAATACTCCACCGCCACAGCACAGGCGCTTTGTGTAAGCTCTGGGAACAAATAAATCCCGGCCCGTTAGATACAATCTCATCTACCTCCACCCAATTACACCCTTAGGAGGGGGAAGCTTAAAAAATAAAACACGTGATGTCCAGAGCTAACAGCGCAGTGCATTGTCGCCACGGCTCGCTCCTTCCCAATCCCGCACAACCATGCTAATGACCTTGTGTTCTGCTCCAGCTCAGGCCCCGACCACGAAGAAACCGCCCCAGTACAAAGCCATCGGGGCCCCCGACGCCCCCCCCCCCCGCCGTTTCCGTGCCCAGAGGCCCCGGTGAGGCTCGCTCTCCGCCACCCGTGCACCCGCCCGACTCTCAGGCCCACGTGGCTCCTCCGCGCTTTTCCCTGCAGCCCCGGGAGAGGCGGCAGGGCCGGGCCGCCAGGACCCGCGGCGGCTCCGCCATTTTGTGCTTCTGGCAGCGCGCCCAGCCCGCGAGCCCAAGATGGCTGCGGCGCGGCTTCGCAGGAGCGCAACGGCGAAATTAGATCCCGCTCCCATCCCCCACCGCCGAGGGAACGCCGCGGCCATTTTTAACCTCCCCCAACCCCCACCTCCTAACGGAAGAAAAAAAAAACCCAAAAAACCGGTCGCGGGGGGTACGAGGCCCACGGCCCGCCGGCGACCTCCCTGGCGACTCGGGGCGGCGTCCATCAGGCCCTCCGGCGCCCCGGCTCCCGCTCGCCGCCAGACTCCCGCTGCCCGGCCGCAGAGGCCCGCAAGGCCTGGGGAGAGAACAAGGGGAGACCGCAGCCGCCCGCGCCCCCCCGCGCGTACCCGTTCGCCGTAGTTCTGCTCGCCGCTGTCGCTCATGACTCCGGATGGCTGTCACCGCTGCTGGCCTGGACGGAAGCTGTCAGGCTCCTGCTTTCTCTACGGAGGCCCCGCCGCAGCCTCTCGCGACGTCGCACTCTGAGAGCCGCCCAAGGCCGACGCGCTCCGCACCTCCTCCGCGCCGCTCTCCCGCCGCCGGACGTGACGCGACGCTCTTTAAGCGGGCCCCGCTCGCTCCCCAGAAGGCGCGCTTTCCCGGCCCCGCCCATTCCGCGGGGCTGGCCAATTGCTTGCTCCGGCAGGGGCGCTTCCCACACCGGATGTGATGTCTGACGCCCCGCCTCGCTCGCTCTGACCGTAGAGCCCGGCCGTGGCGTGGCGGGAAAGCGAGCTTAAGCTGGTGGGCGTCTGCGGTGGTCTCCAGGGGACACCACGAGGTCACCAGCCGTGCCTCGGTTGTTTCTGGAACCTTCCAGGGAACCGTCCTGGCTGGAAGGAGACAAGAGAGGGCTCCGCGCCCCTCCATCTTTTGTTCTGCCTTTCTAGTTTCCTTTTGTCCTTTTTCTTGTCTAGGAGAGAACACAGCCAATGGAAATCTCTGAGTTCGAGGTCAGCCTGGCCTGCAAAGAGAGTTCCAGGACAGCCAAGGCTACACAGAGAGAAACCCTGTCTCAAAAAAAGAAAAAAAATTGAGGTTTGAGACAGTCTCATTCTACTGCATGGATTGACTTTGACCTCACCATGCAGACTAGATAGAATGGCAGTCAAGTTGTATTAATCCTTTTATGTCAGCCTCCCGAATCCTGGGATTACAGTTAGGAGCCACCAGCAGTATGGTGGTGGCGCACGCCTTTAATCCCAGCACTCAGGAGGCAGAGGCAGAGACGAGACAGGAGGATCTCTGAATTCGAGGCTAGCCGGGTCTACAAGAGCTAGTCCCAGAACAGGCTCCAAAGCTACAGAAAAACCCTGTCTCGAAAAAAACAAACAAAAACAAAACAGACAGTTATGAGCCACCAGTCCTGACTTTGATTTACTGGTTTCTGTACCTCATATTTCTAGTGATTATTTGATATGAAGTAGAAAGAATTAAAAATATAGAGTCAGGCATTGTGACAGGTGAGCATTTAGGAGGCTGAGGAAGGAGTCCTTGAGTTTGACGTTCACACTTCATAGGAGTTCAGAATCAATCTGGATTGTATAAAACGACACTGTTCTAAAAAGAGAAGAAAAATTAAAGAATTGGGAATCAAGCTGGATGTGATAACACAGTCTTTAATCTCAGTACTTAGGAGGTAGAGGCAGGAGGCTCTCTGAGCTCTAGGCTAGCCAAGGCTATGTACTGAAACTATTGTTAGAGAGAGAGAAAGGAAGCTAGGCAGGATGACACACACTTATCCTTGTAACCCCAGCACTTGACAGTTGAGGTCAAGGACAGGCAGCAGCTTAAGACTACCTGGGCCACGTGAGAATCTCCCTTCAAAAAGTGAACAAAAGAACAAAGGGGCCTGCAGTGGTAATGGATTTCTTTGGGGGACGTCACCTGCCTTCTGCCCACTAAGAACGGCCTAAAAGGACACAGATGTATGCTCCTCTGACTGAAACCATGATGAATGAGTTCTCAAAATGAGTTGTGTTTTGAATGCTCGACGGTGACAGTCGTGTTCGATAAATGGCTTCTGTAAATATTTGGAGCTACACGGTGATCCAGGTGATCCAACAATCTTAATCTTGATGGGGAAAACAAAAGCTAGCTAATGAAAGAACGGTAGTTGATCTGGTCAGCCCAGCTGTACACACCACTGAGCCACTCCGTTATCACTCCAACCAGAGCCCATTTTCACCAGATGGTACCATACCTCAACAAGACAGTCAGCACTGGGCCGCTCCACATCCGGGTCCACAGCGCTCCCCAACATCACTTGTACTGTCCTAGGCCAGGGCTCCACTACCACACGGTGTCCTCGGTCCCTTTGCATTTTTCAGCTTCAGGTATTTTGGATTCCACTTATTCCTAGGGTTCTGCCATCAAAACTGACACACCTTTCATCCCAGAACTCGGGGAATAGAGGCAGAAAAATAAAGAATTCAAGGTTAGCCTGAGTGTGGTGTTGCACACCTTTAATCTTAGCATTAGGAGACAGGAGCAGGTGGATCTCTCTGAGTTCAAAGCTAGCCTTTTCTGTATAGGGAATTCTAGGCTAACCAGGGCTACATAGAGATTCTGGATTGATTAAAAAGAAGAAGAAAAGAAAAAAAAGTTGTCGGCCAGGCGGTGGTGGCGCACGCCTTTAATTCCAGGACTCGGGAGGCAGAGGCAGGCCAGCCTGGTCTACCAGAGCAAGTCCCAGGACAGGCTCCAAAGCTACAGAGAAACCTTGTCTTGAAAAATCAAAAGAAAAAAAGAAAGAAAGAAAGAAAGAAAGAAAGAAAGAAAAAAAAGTTGTCAGTTATCCTCAGCTACCTAGAATGTTTGAGGTTAACTTGGGAACCTATCCCCCCCAAAATGGGGGAGGTTGCCATCAGAATTTTACCGCATTTAGCAAGTGACATAATCTTGACTGTAGAGCCAGGCAGAGTGGCTCATGTCTGTAGTCCCACCACTTGGGAGGCTGAGGCAGCAGGACTGTTGTGATCTGAGCACATAGTGAATTCCAGTCCTGCAGGCCAGGGCTACAGTGTGAGGGGAAAAATACCCCGGCACTGGCTTCCTGATCTACAGCGTAAGGGCAATTATGGCAGAAGAGCCAAGAGGGAGCCTGTATAAGTCAGGTTTCTCATCACTGCGAGGAATGCTTGACAAGAGCAGGTTAGGTTAGGAAGGGTTTACGTTGGTTTACCACGCTGACAGAGGAGGTGTGGCAAGGGCTGCGTGTAGGCCCATATTTCTATTTGGTATGGCAGCCAGGTCCTGAAGCCATAGGCTCCACCTGAGGTGGTCACACAGCCCTGCAGACAGGCTGTCACTGCCCTAACAAAGGGTCAGGATGTTGTTGCTCCTTTCTTTGTAATTTGGAGGATGCTTGATAGAGATGTTAATTCAAACCTACTGACAGCTAGCTTACACAGCAGACAGATAGATGCGGATGTGACAAAACGCCATTCACCTGGTTACATAGAAGACAGAATGCTAATGTATTTCCCCCTGAGTTAAGTTTTGGTATAAAGACTGTTTGGAAAATAAATGGAGGAAATTCTTCAGGATGTGAACTCAGGACTTCATGAGGGATCTCTGAGAATCTCCCTCCCGATGAAACCATGTGAGTCGTGTCTCTATTCCCGTCTCCTCCACACCAGTCCAGAGAGAGATAGTTTATGTTGGGGTCAGACAGAGAAATAATATGGTCCGGGCTAGCACCGGACTCCAACAGCTGCATAGTGCTGGGGACATGCATCTGGGTTTGCTTACCTCTTCACAGCTCCATGGACAGGAAATAGAAAGACCGGGGAGAAGGCCTCAGCTATGACCCTCAAGCCCCCCTCACCATGACTCATTTTCTTATCCACTCCCTACCCGCTAAAGGGTCTGCATGCCAAAGGGGCACTATCAATTAGGGAGTAAGTGTTCAAACACAAGAACTTGTGGGAGACATCTCACATCTAAACCATAACAGAACCCTCGTATTACGATGATGATGATTACATTTAAGGGAGAAAGTGTTGTGATACTTTTCCTGAGGAGAGGCAAAAACAAACCAGACCAACAAGCAAACAAAACCCCAAACCACCTAGTGTATCAACAATCCATCAGAGGAAGAAGTCCACCCAAGTCCAGCTGGGTGTAGCAGTACGCTTATTGGACTTACTTATAGGAACATGGACGATGGGTTGTTCACAGGAGCCCGGATCACCCAGAACTAATTGCATTAGCAAAAAGCCCACCCCAGTATGGGCAGTGACCTCACAACGGCCGAGTTGAAATCCCTATTGCAGGCACGCTTCCGCCTCTTACGTGCTCCAGCACTCCAGACATGTTCCAGTGGGGCAGGACCGCATGCAGCTGGTGGAAGTGACAGCCAAGGAGGATGTGACTGAAGTCTCAGGTTAGAATCAGCTGCTGTGTCCCCAAGGGGTAAAGTTAACAGTCCCAATCTTCTGAGCGTCTCATTCGGGCAATCACAACTGTTCTAATTTCAAGATGGCAATGGCCATTCCATGCCCAGAAGACAGAGTCCTACAACACACAATGGTACTAGGGCCAAAGCCTTCTGAGATAGAAAGATGTCAATTCAGATCATTAGATGCACAGGTTTATAAGACAAAAAAACAAGTGAATCTTCGAGAATGACCGTGAATGATAACCTTGATTTTATTTGTTAATTTAGGTCAGGTTTCCGTGTGGGGAAATTAATTTTATGTCCTGCAAAGAAGAATATAGTTTTTTTCTTTTCTTTTTCTTTTCCTTTCTTTTTTTTCCATTTTTTTTTCAGGACAGGGTTTCTGTCCCTGGTTGTCCTGGGACTCACTCTGTAGACAAGGCTGACCTTGAACTCCAGAGATCCCCACCTGCCTCTGCCCCACAAGTGCTGGGATTAAAGGCTTGCAGCACCATACCCGACCTTTTTTATTATTATTATTTTAGATATACTTGTTTTGCTTTTATTTTACGTATATGAATATTTTTCCTGCACATATGTATGTGCACCACTCAAGCATCTGGTGTCCACGGAGGCCCGAAGAGGACATAGAATTCCAAATCTGGGTTTGCCAATAGTTGAGTACAACTTCGTGTGTGCTAGAAATTGAACCTGGGTCCTCAGCCTCTGAAAGAGAAACAGTGTTCTTAACTGCTGAGAAATTTCTTCAGCTCCATTGGTGACAAGGAGGAAAAGAAGACAGGGTCTCTTTGTGTAACTTTGGCTGACCTGGAACTTGCAATGTAGACCAGGTTGGACTTGAACTCACAGAGATCTATCTGCCTCTCGAGAGCTGGTATTAAAGAACCATGCTGCCAAACCAGGCCGTGGTGGTGCACGCCTTTAATTCCAGCACTCAGGAGGCAGCAGCAGAGGCAGGCAGATCTCTGGATTCGAGGCCAGTCTAATGGTCCACAGAGTGAGTTCCAGGACAGCCAGGGCTACACAGAAAAACCCTGCCTCAAAAACAATCAAACAAACAAGCCCCTCCCCCCCCAAATTAAAGATATGTGTTGCTGCTATGCCCAGCTATTTTTACTCTTGATTCCAGTCTTAGAATGGATCTC